GCATTTAAACCACGATATGAAAATGATTATCGTAAGAGTGGCTCATCATATGGAAATAACAATGGCCCAAAGGCTAACTATGGTGGAGGAAATAACCAAGAAAGATATGCTCAAGGTGGTCCACGAAATAACAATGGTGGAGGAAATAATCAAGAAAGATATGCTCAAGGTGGTCCACGAAATAACAATGGTGGTGGAAATAACCAAGAAAGATATCCTCAAGGTGGTCCACGAAATAATAATGGTGGCGGTTATTAATATTAAAAAATTTATATAGTTTCATTTTTATTTGCTTGCATGCATATTCACAAAAAAAGAAGTTGCATATATGTTTTCTTCTTTTTTTTATTAATCTTGAAATAATCATAATAAATATCGTATTTTACAATTTTCATTTCGTTTGTTTTTGGTTTTTTAATACATCTATCTCGTCGATTATGATATTAAGATAACAAAAAAGAGTAATAGAAAACTACAATGTGAAAATAATGATAGATTTTATTAGTTTCTTTTCTTTTTATTCAAAAAAATCAAATTATTAATACATATTAACTATTACCATATACGAGACATGTATCAAGTTTCATAGCTGTATGATTAGAGCGACATGTTTCACTTGTTAATTCAAGATTCCATCCAGCATAATTATGTAAAACTAATGCACTAACAAAACGACTTTGTTGCATGTAATTTTTAAGTCGAAGTAAATAATCAGGAACTAAATTCATATCATTATCAATTGCCCAAGGATTACCAGCACGTGGATATGCACGATGTTTTCGTGTAACTAGATGAATACCATCAAATCCAATAACATGTCCATAAAGACATAATGAACGATAAACAAATATAGCTTGACTTGTCCACCAACTTTGTGCATCATATCTTGGACAATAAGGAAGTAAGAATGGAAGTGCATCACGATGTATTGCATTAAACAGAGCATCAATATGATAAAGAACTTGTGTTAGAAGGCCAGGAAATGCCATTGGACCATTTGAACCTGTTATTGTTCCAACAGCAGGTGAAATTGAGAAGAGAAAAGCATCATGAAGTAAAAAACATTTATCTTCTCCAGTTAAATTATGTGTCAAATTAATAAATGAATAAAAATGTGGTGCTAATAAATATTCTTCATTGTTACCATAATCAACAATTGTTTTATTTGTTAATAATTGTTCCGCAAGTGGACATGCTACATGTACATCTCCATCAGCAAAAGTATAATATGACCAACGCCAATTTTGATTTCGTTCTTCATCTAATGCTACTTCATATAATTTATTTCGTGCTGTTGTCCAAGTTAATTTCTGTTTAGGATTAAGTTCTTTTTCATTTACAATAAATATACGAGATTGTATATAATGAAATGATGATATTGGTTGAAAAGAAATTAATTTTTCATTTCTTTTCGTTTTACTTGACCATGTATTTATATAAAGATGAAATGATGAATGAAAACTAGATGAATTACAATTTTCTCTCCAACAATAAAAAATAGCATCAGCTGTTACACTTGGAAATATTTGTATATATGCATCCACTTCAGCTTGATTTTCACATATAAATAAATAAAGAATACGAGCTAATGTTGGAATCGATGAGTTTATTGTTAGTTTTAATGATAAATTTTCTTTATATTTAAATATTGAATTGTAATTTAACAAAGAAATACATATAAATATAATTACTATTATAAAAAGACATAAACGTCGATATGTTGGGGTAAAACGATATTTAAAAATTAGGTTTTGTTCACTGTTATTTCGACGAAATGAATGCTCATCATCAGCCATCATAGTAAATGAGAGAATAATTCAAGTGTCTATTAATAAAAGAAAAAT